CGCTCGCTCTCTCTCTCTCTCTCGCTCTCGCTCTCGCTCTTTTCCTTCTACCATGCACTCCCACTTCCCCATAGGCCCAGAACAATGAGGCTAACTGACTGAAACCCCAAAGCTGTGAACCAAAATAAACCCTTGTGCTTTATAAATTATTTTATCTCAAGTATTCTGCCACAGCAACAGAAATCTGACTAACATACAAAGGATACGCACAGTACAGAAAAAGACCAGGAGCTCAAAACATACAGAAGACTCAACACCAATCACAAGAAACACCTATTAGGACTACAGTGTTTTAGTTAAGATGACAGATATATACATATACATACATATATATTTTTTATCCGTCAAATTGGCATAAACTAAAAACCACCAAGTTGGTGGAGTTGTGGGGAAATCTGCACTCTCAGAGTCACACGATGTCTTAGGAATGTAATCTAGCCATACAATCGCAATCTAAAATACCAGAACTTTTAAATCACGTTGATGAGTTTCTCCTGCTAGAACAGTCACAGAAATGAGAGATGAGGTACAAGTAGGGCTTGATGCACTCTTGTCTATGACAGCAAACAAGTGACAATAAGAAGAGCAAGCTACAAACCCACAGTGGACTATCTTGACACACTCGGTACATTCGGCAAGAAATCTACATTGACTTAAAAAGGATATCCTCTATCTACGTGTCTTGTCGAACAATCTCAACAAATGATTGTTTTTCAAGAAAGGAACATACTCGAGTATTATTTCCTACTAACTATGTTAAAAAGAGGAAGGCACACATATACATATGCTTATTTAAAAACAGAATATGCATTCTTAAGAAATTGTCTCTGAGGATGCAGCCAGGCTTAGGGGTCAAAGAAAACTTAGCCCCATAACTTCCATACTGTACTGAACCACACTGCCACCTTGCACTGGAGAAAGCCTATGCTTCCCTCAGCAAGCAGCCCTTGTTATCATTTAAGCCAGCAGTACAAGGCTGATTTGCCCCTAAGTTCCCTAACCTCTGGCCTCCCCAATTCAAGGCATGCAGATCAACAGATTGCCAGGCACCTGGTTTCATCAATCATCTCAAAAATCAAATGATTGATTTCAAAAATGACAAAAGGAGCTTGAACCTGGGTCCAGAAGATGGGATTTCAGCATGCTAGCCCACCAACGTCTCCATCTTGGGGGTCATGGAATAAATCTTTCTTGCTACAAGACTTGTCCTCAGTTCACTGGGCCTTTTGTGACAGGTGAGCTTCGGCTCAGTAACAAGAACTGGAGAGCAGAGGATGGGGAAAGAAGGCGGATTTTTCACTGTGTACCTTAAGGGCTGTTTGAATTAATATTTAAAATGTTTTTGAAATGGCCAAGAATTACCTCTAAAAATTATTTTGAAATAATGCTTAACCTGTGCAAGAGCTACTTAAACACATGTTTTTGAAAGCAGAGAAGTGGGATGTACCCACAGCCCTTGTGGTCCTCTCTCCTCCCCTCCTGTTGGCCTGTGGCCTTCTCCACTGTGGCCAAAACCTATCCCTCAGCAGGCTTCCTGTGCCTGATTTCAACTCTGGGGACAGCTCCTGGTCCTTTGGGCCCCATTCTGAGCATACACCTCCCAGTCTTCCTGTCACCCACATCTTCCATGTAAACATAAGCCAGCCAATGAAACACAGCTGCTGTGATTTGACTGTGTCTCCAAAATGTCATGGGTTGGACATTTAATCCCAAAACCACATTAATGGTATTTGAAAGGTGGAACCTTTGATGGGTATCTGAGTTTTGAGGGCTCTGTTCTCATGAATGGTTAACCCACTCATGGATTAAAGGCACAGCGGGCATCACAGAGGTAGCTGTTACACAGGCAGTTCTCTGGTAAGCTTGTTCTGTCACAAGGCAGCTTGGCCCCTGTCTCAAGACAAGATGGGCCTTACCAGGCACCAGCCTGGACCTCCCAGCTGCCAGAACCTTGAGCTAAACGAACATCTATTCTTTATGAATTACCCAGTCTGCAGTACTTTGTTATAGCAACAGAAAACAGACTAAGACACCAGCTTCCTCCAGATCACCACAGCCCTCCATTGGCTGAACTTCAATGGTGTCCACAATCCGGCTTTGGCTAGAGGGTGAGTGTGGCAGGAATAGGGGTGACACCTAAGGGAAGTGTGAGATAATGTGACAGCTGGAAGGGGGAAATACCCCTGGGCATGAACAAGGCTGGGCTGTATACTGAACAGAATTTAGGAGAACCTGACTAATTGCCGCAGCATACCCTACAACATTCACCCTGTACCCGTGTCCTCATAAAGCCTAGGACTAGCACTTGGAGAAAAAAGCCACATGGCCTCAACTACTTTACCAAGGGACCAGTTCCATGAGCCAACTCTCTACTTCTCTAGAAGCTGGGGCAGCACATGGAACTCCATCTTGAGGGAATCTCTGAGTGGTGTGCTCTGAGATTCTGCATCTGACAGGCTACAGCCTAGCAGTGAAAAGCAGTTGCCAGAAAACAGCACCCCCTGATGACAAATTCTGATTCCTCACTTCCTTGCCATGCAGCCTTGGGCAGTTTTCTTCCTATCTCTGAACCCCTGTCTTCTCACTTGTGAAAAGAGACAGCAATAGCACAGACCTGACAGGCTTGCTGTGAGGATTATTTCTGTTGTTACTGTGTGATCCCAAAGGAAAGCCCAGCATGTAGTACATGCTCAATGAATGCCAGTTATTCTATGATCTCTTGGCTTTTCAAAGACTTCGAATGAGATCATCTTATTAAAGGATGAAAAAATAGATGATCAGAATTTTCCCAGAAAACAAAAAATTTCCCCAGAAAACATCAGTGCATCAGTTTTTCTTCTATTTCCAGGTCCTAGAGTCTTTATTGATCTGAAAACTTTGGGATCTGCCTCCTCCTTGAGACTTCTTTTTATGGGCCCACAGTGTATTGACTGACAGATACAGGGTGTAGGAAAAGCAAATGACATCTCTCCTGCCAGGAGATAGTCATTCATTCTTTTTTCTTTTCTTTCTCTCTCTGTCTCTCTCTCTCTCTCTTCCCCCCCCCCTCTGGTGACCACCTCTGTCCACCACACCTGACCCCAAGTTCACCTGGGAGCTTATAAATCTTCCTACCACTGCAGCTGGGGACGCTCCGAGACACCCACTCCCTCCCAGGGCCCGCCCCCAACCCCAGCGTCTGAGCTGGTCCTCCTCCAGTTTCATGCTCTTGCTGAGCTGATGCCTCAAGGCCTCTGTCCTCACTGTTACCTTTGGCTGGAATCTTCTTCCTGACAGCACACGGCTGAGTTCTGTCCTGATTCACGTCTCTGCTCAAATGTTACCTCCTTCAGGCCTGTGCTGATCACTCTAGAGAACACGGCAGCCCCTGTCACCTTCAGACCTTTCCAGCTATTTTTTCTTCCTAGCATTTATCTGACATGACATTAACAGTGTTGCTTATTGTTCATTTCTCCCCATCAGAAAATAAGGTCCATGTGGAGGACTATCTTGTCAAATAGTGTGCCTTTAAACATACAGACCACCAGTAAGTTTTTTGAATGAATGCAGGAATGAATGAACAAGACAGACAACAGGGTGAGTCTCCTTTGAGACACAGATCTCTGCCTCAGATGTAATCTCCCAATAAGAAATCCTCCCAACAAGAAATACTGCAGGGCTGTTCACCATTCACCACTGCTCACAGATGTCCTATAGGAAGCTTAATATATAACTCCCTGCCTCTGTCCTGGGCCCTCAGATTTTCAGGGCCTGAAAATGGTACTAATTCCTCCACCTCACCTAGGAAGTCCTCTTGCACTAGGGGTGGTGATCCATATTCCCAGTAATTCCTGCACTCTGGGAGGCTGAGGCAGGAGGACAGTATATTTGAGCCCAGCCTGAACAATTTAACTTTGTGAGACCTGGAGATGTAGCTCAGTGTGAAGGCCCTGAGTTCCATCCCAGTACTGCAAAACAAACAAACAACAACAAAAAAAACCACAACCCAACACACACATACAAAAGTCTGTTTGCAATCCTCTCTTGACAAGGGCCAATTTCTCTGATCTGTTTCACCACTTTTGTTGTTGTTTTACAGCATTTATCACTCTTTGAAATGATGTGATTAGTCTTCTCATTTGCTTCTTTTCTCTCCCCTACAACCCATATGTAAATGAGAGCTGTGTATTCTGAGCGCCTACACGCCTGACTGCGACAACTATTTGTTGAAAAACAGAAGGAAGAAATAACTCTTCTTTACACCCTCCACATAGAGGAAATGCAGTGTCAGGAAGAAAAGAATGAATCACCGCACTCCTTGCTGTCTAAACTTGACCTTGGCATGTTTCTCGTGTAGAGGGGCTCAGAGATACCCAATTAAGTGCTAATTACATTCAATCAGCGCTGGGCCAGGGGAGGAGCCCGGCTAATGAGGTTCAAGGGCAGGTGGACCTGCAGATGCAGTGACTTGTGTGAAGCTGGCCTCCTGACCCAGACAACAGGCCACAGACTCAGAGGTCCACCAGCACTGACCAGCACAGCAAAACCGCTGTGTGTCCTGATACCATGCCCACCCCTGGCTCCCTCCTCAGCCTACTCAAAGGAAAGCTAGACTCAATTCTAGGACCAGAAAGGAGTAGGATTTATCAGCTGAGCGGGCACTGTTTACCTTCCCAGCAATGCCTGATGCTTTCTGGCCAGACATGCCGCGCCGAGAATGACCAAGGAAAGGGGGATGCACTCATGAGGGCGGGGGAGAGTTGGGATCTCCAAACCCAGGAAGTTGTGGGGTGCACCTCACCAGCTCCCACCAAGCAGGGCCTGGCCTGGTCATGCGCACCAGCCCGTGGTGTCCCCGGGTTCTGATGCTGACAGCTTCACCAGCTCGCTGCCCTCCAGCGGGGCTTGGAGCATAGACCCACCGCCCTGGCCAGCGGGGGCAGGAGCCAGCGAAGCCACCGCACTTACTCTCCCGGGGGGGGGGGGCGCAGCCAAGCCACCCCGGCTGCCCCAGTCCCTACCATCTGGTTAGGCTGGTTTTTCGGGTTCCCTGCTTGCTCCCGACCCTCCTGCAGCTTCTTCCCTGCTCCAGGCCCGCTGTCCTCAGCGTCCCGGCCCGACAGCGGCTCCACAGGTGCTCACCGACTCCACGAGACCCGTGACAGCACGGTCACAGTCGAGAGGGGTGAGGGGAGACCCGCCGCGTGCCCTTACCCATTTCCCGCCGGCCTCGGGCTCCAGCCTCCCCCCGGCCCGGGCGCCCCATGGCTCGGCGCCCAGGCGGCGGCTGCGGGCGGTGCAGCCCCGGCTCACAGGAGGTCTGGGTTTCCGGGAGGGAGGGGACGCTTGCGCGGGGCGGGGCGGCGCGGGCGCGGAGCGGTCCGACTGGTCCGACAGCGGCGGGGCCGGCGCCTCCTGCAATCCCTGCACCCGCCTGCGCGCTCCCGAGCGGCCGGCGCCCCTGACCCTCGCCGGCTTGTTCTTCCCGCGCATAACCGCGACCATGAGGCCAGAGCCAGAGACGTGCACCCCTTAAATAAGGCAATATTGGAAGGTGCCTACAAATCCATTATTACCATTTAGTGACTAGGCACAAGAAAAAAAAAAATGCATTCCTTGAGTTGAGAACTTCAGTTGTAACTGTTGGCTCTCGGTAGCGGATTCTTGCCAGTTTGTTTGGGGATTGCTGTCGCGCTGGCAAGTACTTTTGACTTGAACGTAGTTTTGCAAAAATATCCTCAGATGTTGGTTGGCATTGGCGAGAAGCTCTTATTTTTCAGTATCCCCCTTGGCAGCACTACCCAGCTCCAAAATTTCTGTAACTATGTAAGACACCGTGTGTGAAAATCTGAGTTAAGTGATTCTGTATTTCCTGTAGACCCAGTTAAAATTTTAGCTCCCCAAAAATAAGTAACTTAAGAAAGTCCGTACTTTAAATGCATAAAATGAGTTCGTGTTCCTCGTGTTTTATGGGGGACAGCCACAACATCTAGTATTTACTGACTGCGGTGTGCTACGCCCTAAGTTTTCCGTCCTGGGAAGTAGGACATTTTTCACCTCAGGAGGAAATTGAGGGACAGAGAGGTTCAGTAACCTGACCAAGCTCGCACAGTGAGACAGAGACAGAGGCCGTGCTCCAAATCACTGGGCCACGCTGCTGCTGCTTTGTCTTTTTAAGATGGGGCCCTGCTGCTAGGCCAGTAATCTTTATTCCTTCACTCTATGAATATTCAGTGCGCACCTGCTGAATGTATGCAGGCACCGGCTAGGCACTGTGGGGCAGGAGGATGAACCGAAGCTGCAGCCCCACAGGCAGACAGCAGTAACGTGATGGATATAAAGATGCTAGAGGCGGAGGCAGCTTCCTGAAAGGGAAAATCCTGGAAAGCCAGACATCACAAAGGGAAGGGCCGGACAGGTGCACACAAACTCCTTTCAAATACTCAGTGGGGAGCCGGGGAGATAGCTCGGTGGCATAAGTGCCTGCCTGGCAAGCACAAGGTGCTGAGTTCGATTCCCGATACCAAAAAAAAAAAAAAAAAAAAAAAAAAAAGTCAAATACTCAATGGACTCCTGAACAAACACGGGGCAGAAATTCAAACAACCCAAACGAAAAGAATAATGAGCGCAGATTTGCGCCCTCAGTTGTAGACTGCTAAGGAACGGCGTTTAAGTCCTGCCACTTTGGAGGGGCTTGGGAAACTCCTTGGCCTTTCCATTGAAACCCCATAACAGTCATACTTAAGGAGCAAAGACTGCATCCCAGAGTGAGCAGAAACACCGTAGAAGTAGGGATGAAACTGAAAGGAATCCATCCAAAATATAAAACCAACATGAGCCTCTAATGATTTAATTTCCTGTTAGAACAGAGCTTGACCCTTTCAGAGGGGAATAATAACAGGATTTAGAGCATCTAAAATGAATTGTTTACATTGCTCACCCTGTGACCTGAAATTATTTGACATTCAAAGAATCAGAAAAATGTGGGTTGTAGGTGACAGGAAGAAGACAACCAACAACTGTCACCTGAAACAGACTCAGAATAATTAAGGGATAAGGAATTAAAGACAGAACTAAGATAAATATGATAAAGATCTACAGGGGAAAGCAGGACATAATGGATCAAGAGATTAAGAATTTCAGCAGGAATATTATAACCATTTTATATAACAAGTACCAAGTGGAATATAAGTAAATCTGCTCCAGTGAGTACTGTCTCTCTATCTTTATTGTGTGGAATGCAGAGGCACCTCCATCTTTGTCCTCCAGAGCAAAGGCTGGGCAGGTTTTCCAGTGACCACTAAATAAAACGAGCGCCTCCTATAGGCAGCTGAATTAGATATAAATGTTACAGGCAGGCAGACAGGGCCAGGCCCCTGAAGCAGCCAGTGCAGAAGATGGGATACCTTGCAGACAGAGAGACCAGCTCTTCTGCTGTGGGCCAGACCTCCAGACAAAAGATTAAACAGATACACCCACATACTTCCCTGGGGATGGACATCAGGGATTTATATTCTAAATACGTGGCAATCACCTTAAAAAAAGCCAAGAAGAGTCACTAATCCAAGCCCCTACAGGAAAGGCCCCTGTTCTGTATTCATGCCCGCTTGCTATGTGACTGGCTTGCTTCCCCATTTCACCCCAATTCAATCAATTTTACCTGAACAACTATACTTGTAATCTTATTGGCTGACCATGGTTTTGTCCCACCTCATGCCCACCTTACGATTTCCCATTATCCCCTACCTTGGACCCGCCTCGCCTCATACTTTTGCTCTATAAAATCCCTGGGAAGGGCACGGTCCTTGGCAACTCACTTGGGCCTCCTTCTGTCTCTCTCTCGGACAGCAGGTTTTTTTCCTTCAATAAATATATTCTTCTCTTAACTTCCGTTGTTCCTAAAATTCATTCTTCAATTTTAGAGAACACGAA